CCGTTTCCATAGAAGCAGGAGTTTCACCACGCTCAGGGGGCGGGGCGCAGCTCAAGGGGCGGGGTCTGGAGGAGGAGCCCAGATTCGGCCTGGCTGTTAGGAGATGGAGAAAAGTTGCTGGTCACTCTGTGTGACAGGAACTCTTAGATACCCTGCCCCAGCCAATGACTTAATACCAAAGTCTCAAGCTGACAATTTCCTAAGTGTAAAGACGCTTTGCAGGAAGAAAACGTCTAATTAGGTTGCTTTGATTGTATTTGACTGTAACTGGACTGGAGTTACAGTCAATTGTGAGCTGCCATGTGGATGCTGGAAATCCCTCTTGCTTGCAAGAACAGAAAGTGCTCTTAACTGCTGAACCATCTCTCTAGCCCCTCATAAATATTTTCATAAAGGAAACAGGAAGTTTTATTACAAGGTATAAGTACAGACTGTCGTAATTAGGGTTTATATTGCTGCAATGAAACACCATGGCAAGTTGGGGAGGAAAGGGTTTATTTGACTTACACTTCCACATCACTGTTCATCATTGAAGAAGTCAGGGCAGGAACTTAAACACACCAGAAACCAGAGATCGAAGCAAACATAGAGGCAGGCCATGGAGGGGTGCCTCTTACTGGCTTGCTCATCTAGTGTTCATATAGAACCCAGGACCGCCAGCCCAGGGATGACACTACCCACAATGGGTAGTGGGCCCTCCCTCATCAGTCACTAATTAAGAAAATGCCTTACAGGCTTGCCTACAACTAGATATTATAGAGGCATTTTCTTAACGTGAGGCTCCCTCCTCTCGGGTGACTTTAGTACTATAGTGTCAAATTGACATAAAATTATCCAGCACAATTGACCCCTTGTCAGTTTGACACACAAACACATCACTATTAAACTATAACCTTTTCTTTCTCGTTCATCCAGAAAATATCACATAAAAGTATAAATAACTTTAAAAGTCCCACAGTTTTTTACAAATTCAAATGCATTAAAAGTTCAGTCTTTTTAAAATAGTCAATCTCTCTTAAAATCCAAAATATTTTGAAACTCTAAGTCTCTTGACTGTGGCTCCTGTAAAATAAAATACAAATCACTTTCTAACTTCAAGAGGGAAGAACCAGGGAACAGTGACAATCAAACCAATGCAAAACCATACTCCCAGAGTGTAAATAACTCAACATCCAATGTGTGGGACTAATTGATAATGTTTTGTGCTTGTTCAATGGGCTTGCGATGTCCTTCTGCATCTACGTTTCTCTTATTGGTTGATGAATAAAACACTGATTGGCCAATAGCCAGGCACGAAGTATAGGTGGCAGGAAGTATAGACAAGGAGATTTCTGGGGTGAGGATGCAGAGAGTGAGCTGCCAGAGAGGTGCCATGTAGCCGCAGGAGTTTGAGGTCCTGGCATTCTACCGTAAGCCAAGACCACATGGAAATACTTAGATTAATAGAAATGGGTTAATATTTAAGAGAGAGCTAGCCAATAAGAAGCCTAAGCCATCGGCCAAACAGTTTATAATTAATACAGGCCTCTGTGTGTTCACTTGGGACTAAACAGCTGTGGGACCAGGAGGAACAGAAACTCCATCTACAGGCTTGGGTCTCTTCTCTGGCTCTGCTCTCTCAATCACACACAGCTTATCTTCTGGCTCCACTCCCCTGATGTTCCTGTTCCTGGTGGTCATCCCTGGTACTGGCATCTCTAAAATGCTGGGATTGTTTGCTGCAACTTGTACCAATAGCCTCTCATAGGCTCTCCTCATGTTGCCAAGCCTCAGCTTCTCTGCATGACCCCTTCAGTCCTGGACCTTCAACTGCCACTGAGGCTGCACCTTCCACAATGGCCTCTTCTGGTCTTTCACAATACCAAGCCTCAGCTGCTCCCCATGACCCCTTCATGCCCTCAAAACCAGTACCACCTGGGTGGCTCTAGTACTACCAAGATCAGCTGCCAGCACAAGGTTCAATCTCGACCCCTTCCGGAACAGTTTCTGTGTGCTGACCTTGAACAAACATTTCCCAGAAGATTTCACCTCAACAATGCTGGTCTCTTCTTAATCACCATTAATTTCTTAGCTCTAGTGAGCCAGCATCAGATATCCCAGAAAAGCAAAGGTTTCACTTTAATTCTTGTCTCTTGTTAACCACAGCTGATTCTTTTCAGCCCCAGATAACCAGAACCACAGAATCTTCATTTAAAATTATAAATAGTCCCTATAGAGTCTTTAAACTTCTCCCTGAAACGTCATAAGCCAGGCCTCCATAGTCTGCCTTGCCCTCAACATTCTTGTCTCCCCAGCTCCTTCAGAACAGCTCACCAAGTGCTGAACACTCCGTGGCTTGTCTTGCACACAGTTCCAATGTCCTTCCACATCCTCCCCAAAACAGCACGGCTATGTCTATAACAGCAGTACCCCACTCCTGGTTCTGACTTGTCTTAGGGTTTCTACTGCTTCAATGAAACACCATGACCAGAAAGCAAGTTGGGGAGGAAAGGGTTTATTTGGCTTACACTTCAGCATTGCTGTTCATCACTGAAGGAAGTCAGGACAGGAACTGAAACAGGGCAGGAACCTGGAGGCAGGAGCTAATACAGAGGCCATGGAGGGGAGCTGCTTTCTGGCTAGCTCCCATTGGCTTGCTCAGCTTGCTTTCTTATAGAACCTAGGACAAGCAGCCCAGGGGTGGCTACACCCACAATGGCCTGGGTCCACCCCCATTAATCTCTAATTAAAAAAATGCCTGACAGGCTTGTCTGTAGCTCAGTCTTCTGGCAACATTTTCTCAATTGAGGTTCCCTCCTCTCCAACATCTCTAGCTTGTGTCAAGTTGACATAAAACTAGCCAGCACTCAGACTGAAGAGGAAGTGAGAGCTGCCCAGCAGAAGGTGACATCTCTGGCTTAGGATAGGCACTTTAAAGGGCAGACTTTAATGCATGAAGGCTAGTCATGACTTGGAGAAAGAAAGGTGAAGAATTTCAGGAATGGCTTTCGTTTTCCCCTTCTCTGTCTTGCTAGTTTTGGAAGGGAGATGGTGTTTTGAACTCACAATGTAGCTCAGGCTAGCATCAGACAATCCTTTTGACTTCTCAGATTGCTGGAATTATAGGCATGGACCACAATGGCAGGCATCTTTTCTGTCCTTATATGGGTTTGGGGGTGTGGCATGGTGTCAGATGGCATTTTAATGGGCAGGTGATGCAGTCCTGAAATTCCAGCACTTGGCAAGTGAAGACAGGAGGATCACTGAGATATCTAAGTTAGTCTGATCTGTATAGGAAGTGAGGTCTGGCCAGGGCTACATAGAGTGAGGCCCCTTTTTTCCTTTTTCTTAAGTTGGGGTCAAGACAGTAATGTTTATTAAATATTCCATGTGAAAACTTACATTTCACACTTCCTGTTTGGTGTCAACAGACAGCTATTTCCTTTTTAAAATATTATTTTTATTTAAATTAGAAACTTTTTATTTTACATATCAATCCCAGTTCCTTCTCCCTTCCATCTTCCCATGCCCTTCTCCCACCAACCTCCTACCCCACCCCCTGTCCACTCCCTAGGGGGGGCAAGGCCTCCCATGGGGGATCATCAAAGTCTGTCATATCATTTGAGGCAGGACCTAGGTGCTCCCCCTGTATTTAGGCTGAGAGAGTATCCCTCCACAGGAATGGGCTCCTAAAGTCTATTTGTACACTAGGGATAAATACTGATTTGCTGCCTGCAGCACCATAAACTGCCCAGGCCTCCTGACACTCACATTCTGGGGTCCTGGTTCGGTCCTATGCTGGTTTCCCAGCTGTCAGACTGGGGTCTGTGAGCTCTCACTTGCTTAGGACAGCTGTTTCTGTGGATTTTCCCAGCATAGTCTTGACCTCTTGGGCTGGAGAGATGGCTCAGCAGTTAAGATCACTCTCTGCTCTTCCTAAGGTCCTGAGTTCAATCCCCAGCAACCATATGGTGGCTCACCTTGTAAGGAGGCCCCTTTTCAAACAGCAACAAAAAGCTGGGAGACAGCACATGATTGTGGTACCAACACTCAGAAGGTAAAGGCAGGAGGATCAGAAACAAAACAAAACAAAACAAAATAAACAACAGTCTATAAGTTTAACTTAAATAATACAATTAAAAAAATTTTTTTTGAGACAGCGTTTCTCTGTAGCTTTTGGAGCCTGTCCTGGAACTCACTCTGTAGACCAAGCTGGTCTCCAACTCACAGAGATCCACCTGCCTCTTCGTCCCATCCCAAGTGCTGGGATTAAAGGCATGTGCCACCACTACCTGGCTCAATACATTTAATTTTAATAAACTGTATTTCTTTTCTTTTCTTTTCTTTCTTTCTTTCTTTCTTTCTTTTTTTTTTTGTTTGTTTTTTTTGAGACTCACTGTATAGCCCTGGCTAGCCTGAAATTTACTCTGAAATCAGGCTGGCTTCAAACTCACAGAGATCTGCTGGCCTCTGCTTCCCAAGGTCTGGGATTAAAAGCATGCACCCCATGCCCAGCTAAATCGTGTATTGTTATAGTTAAAAATTAAAATTTTCTTCATGGTGTCTGTGTGTTTGTATGTGCCATGGCATGTGTAAGGAGGTCAGAGGACACTGTGGAGTCAGTTCTCTCCTTCCACATTTTCATGGTTTCAGGGATTAAACTCCTGTGTCCAGGGTTGGTCAGCAAAGCCCTTTCCCCTGAGCCATTTCCTGTCCCAGCCTTTCACATTTTCATTTTAACCC